GGGACAATTCCATTGATAATGGGAATGGAACGGCGCTCAGCACGACTCCTTTCCCTCAGGGTTTGACGACGTAATTGCTCCCGATTCTCCTTTCCGATCCCCTCTGATCTTGCATCAGATTCCAAAGTTGGATGGTTTTGACAATTAGGTGTTTCAGATTCTCCTATGAGCAAATAATAAAAATTGGGAGTCATAACATTTGAATAGAAGGTTAAATACATGTAAAGTTTGAACACCTAAAATATTTTTAAAACTATAATGAAAGAACTGGCTCCATCTGTTGGGACAATAGGCTGTTACATGATATTGGCATGCATCTTCCAATCAGCACTAGTATGAGTAATATTCTCATACAAATTAGGACTTGCACATTCAGGCAAACATATCTTTGAATGGAAAAATGTGTCAGCTGATACCATGCCAAAGCTACAAAACTAATGAAATACTGTTCCCATTCCATTTTAGTTCAGTGGTTAGGCATCCCATTCTGAAAGTCAAATACCATTCATTTACATGGATGTACAGGGTAGGCCACAGAAAAGTAGCCCAGTCATTGATTTAGAGTCTGTAAGGGAACAAACATGTTCTTTCATTTTCCCACCCATCCTTTCTCCCTACAACCTTGAAAATTGGTTTGGCTAGTTTCTGTAAGAGAGGGGGGAAAGCTGTCTCCATATGCATTGTAGCTTCAGTCTCAACTCCCAGTAGTCTGTTGGAAATAAAAAGTAACATGCCATATTCTGTGATGCAGAGTGTTGGAATGGTGGATTTGTATGTGCAGACTAAGTCATACAAACAAACATGAGCATTTTCAGGGAACAGGAGGATGTTACAGGAGAACATTTCCAGCACTTGTGATTGTAATTTGCAAACACACATCAGAAACCTCCTTTGCCATTGTAACAACACTCATGTCAGGTGAGCTACTTTTCTGTGGCCCAACTGGGGTTTAGAATAGCTCTTTTTTGTTCCAAAGTTATTTACTGTTTCAAATGGAATCAACCTTTTTTTTTTCCCTCCTTGTTCCAGTTTTCTTGCCTGAAGATCTGATCAGAACATAAGGAGAGAATGGCCAGTAAGGTAGAGCATGGATTATGCATGCCTGATGTCAGTATTTCATTGACTATCAGAGTTGAACTTCTTATAACCAGTGATGAATATCATGACACATAAATCTCAAGCACGAATATTTGTTTCAATGCTTCATCAATTCATTCATCCTACAACTTTGAGTCAGCATCACAAGACTAAACTGATTCTGAAAGAAGGCTGTAGACCATCTATGCCACTGTCTTATCAGCATATTCCTTACAGTATTTCCTTGATGTTGACAAGTATGAGAGGCATGCTTTGCTTCCAAGTAGACTTGGTAGTATTTAAAATCAAAATAACTTCTTAACCAGGAAGTCTTTCACAATAATACTACAATGAACTTTGTTGACATGAGTAAAGCGCAAATACTAATTTTCATAGAATCACAAACCAATATGAAATATGATATCCCCAGATGTTTGAATTGTGAAAGGTTAGGATGTTGCATTATGTAAAAGGTAACAAATTTTAAGTGCTAGCAGGATTCACCTTCTTTGGCTTTCTCACTGGATGATGGTAAACTTTCAGGCTTGGAATCATCTGAAGGAAGGGTTGTAATCGTGACATCGAAGCACGGTCGAGCACACGGCTTGATGGAACTCCCTATGCCAGTGCTGTTCAGTGGCCCTTCCCGTGCAACCATGCAGGTATTTGAAAACACACTCTTTCGAGTTGAAACACGCCTTCCAGATCCAGGACGGGGTGTTGAAGTGTCCAGTGGCCCCATTGGACTCTGCTAAAGGAGAGCCAGCACCCACCCAAATCGCATCAACAATGATGAAGAATGTCAGGGCGTACTAAGATGGCTTACCAGGTTTTAGTAACTTGGCTGGAAATTTACTTTCATGATGAAAAAGAGAGAATATCCATGATTCAAGCAGCTGCTAGCTAATGGATCTCAATGCATTGAGCAAATATTATTCCATATCAGACATTGCAAACTCTTTGAAATTTATTATCACTGAAATAATAGAGAAATGTATATAGAGAAATGAACATCAATCTTGATTAATCAATGAAACTGAACCCTGCATGACTATGGAACAGAGGGGAAGACTCACAACATTCATTGTAGGAGTTGCAGATGGCTTGGGAGAAAGCTGCTGCAGTGGTCTCCTGAGCTCTGTGGCAAGGCCTTTAAGAATGTCCCTGCAGGAAAATTA